CAATACAAAGAAACAAGCACAAAGTTTACGTCAATACTTTGAGTCACTCAATGACTTTACCACCAAAATTTATACAGATCACGAAAACCGTTTTGTTTGTTGCTTTTGTGTGAATATGTTGTCTCTTAAAGAATATGATGGTTCTTGTCTTGCTATAGATGATACTCACTGTACTAACAAATTTGGTTTGCCATTGTTTGCGGCAGTATTCAAAAAGAACGACAAAACGCAACTATTGTGTTTTGGATTTTTACACGACGCTTCAAAAAATTCATTCGTTTTATTCTTACAAAATCTCAAAGAAGAACTCATAATAAAACAAAAAATACCTCTTGGGTTTTCTGCTGATAGATCGGAGTCTCAATATTCAGCAGTTAAAGAAGTGTTTGGTCAAAATACAAAAATTAGACATTGTTACTTTCACATCGGAAGAAATTTGAAAAAACATTTCTCGCAAAAAGAGGAACTAATTAGTTTATTTTTCGGGATGTTTGAAGAAAATGCAAATTTGTTAAAAGCTGAAGCTCTTTATTTAAAAAATTAATAGATTTAATGGAACAATCTAAAATTGAAAAGGATGAAAAGGTGGAACTTAATACAGAATTTACACAGGACGAGTATATGGACTTTCTCACGACAGCGATTGCCACTAAAAAGTTTCCCACTCAAAATATTGAAAAACCATCTCGAAAGTTCAAAGTGTTAAAAACACTCTTCGATCTCAAAGAGACATACCTTCCATCTCAAGTTGATATTAACCTATTTTCCAATACAAACATAGTCGAGGCATTTTTTTCTCATGCAACACAGGCATTTTCTGCATCAGTACCAACGTTTGAAGTTGCTGCTAAATCCTTTGTTAACTACACCAGGCAATTACATATCAACGCAAAACCATTCAACGATACTGAGAGTCGTGCACTTTCCAATCTCATCACCACCGAATTGTTGTGGAAACTTTCACCAGTCACAATAAAGAATCTTCTATCGAATTATAAAACATTTCTAGCCATTGAACACTGTGAAATTGGAAACGGGTGTTGTTGTACTTGTTCAGTTTATCACACGACTGGTGTTCCATGTTTTTACATGATATATTGGAGAACTCTTGGTATTAACAAATATCAAGATGACGCATGCCCTCCTGGTT